CCTCAGTGTTACGTCTTTAAAATGAAAATTGTCTGGTGCAGAAAGGAAGCGTCTTAAACAACTGAAGGAAATGTTAGATGGGGTAGATACCAACTGCACTTTTACTTCTTTCTATGCAAGAACTTTCGTCTCATCAACTTCTCCTAGCTCTGCCTCAAACTCTAGCCCTGCAACTACTGCTACTACAGCATTTTTATTAGATGCTACTTCGAATTCTTATAGTTTTGACAGTACTTTTACTAATGCATCTCTTGCTAACCCTTGCATTGCTGCTACTACTTCTTATGTTGGCTCTGCATTCACTGTTACTCCGGGATCATCTTCTAGCTCTGTCTTTAATTTTTCTTCTTTGTTAACTAACTCAGCGAACAGTGATGTTAACTCTGCTTCCACTGTTACAGTCTACCAAAAAAGCATCTTAGTAATAGCCCGCAACCTGTGTTAGTTTTTCCAAAATGTACATGTGGTAGTCAGAAGCGATCATTTTATCTGCAATGGTACAAGCTGTTTCCGTTGCTGCATTATAATGAATGTAATGATTATGTTTTATGCTACTATTGTATGTTAATGGAAATGCATAATTTATCATCTTCAAAATACAGCGAGGATATTTTCACAAAAACCGGATTTCTTAATTGGAAAAAGGGTTTACAAAAATTCCAGAAACGCAAAAATTATTCTTTCTCATCAAGAAGCCATCAAGGTTATAACTATTCCTTCAACAACTAAAGATATTGGTGAACTTCTCAGCAAAACTCATGCAGAGGAAAAAATGGAAAATGCAGCAATCTTGATAATAATAATCATTGCTACTCAGTTTCTTGCCAGACAAGGTATTGCTCTGCGTGGTGATTAAAATACAGACAAAGATTATAAAGAATTTAATTCAAACTTTTCTCAGTTACTTAATCTTAGAAGCAAAGATAATCCCGCTTTAACTAAAGGGATGATAAAGTCGCAAGATAAATTTACAAGTGCAATTATCCAAAATGAAATTCTGAAGATAATGGATCTCACCATACTCAGAAATATTACATGAAATATTTCTGGAAAATAGTTTATTATTATAGTATATAAAACCACAGTTCAGTCCAACACTGAGCAAATGGTAATTTGCTTGCGATATATAGATGATGACTTGAAGTATTTATCAGACTTTGCAGTATGGAAAACAGCTGAAAGTATTACTGCAACTATCAAAGATTTCTTATGCATATGAATCTTTTAATTAATAATTGTCATTGCCAATGATATGATGGTGCCAGTGTCATGATATGTTGCAAGTCTGGAATTGCGAAGAGAATAAATGACCTCGAACCCAAAGCACTATATTCTCATTGTTATGGTCACGCTTTGAACTAAGCAGTACAAGATGTGCTCAAAGCTATCAGCATCATGAAAATGCTCTGAACACTGTTCATGAAATTAACAAGTTGATAAAAAAATCTTCCAAATGTGAATGCCTTTTCAAAAGGTAAAAGAAAATATTCCTTCTGGAACACCCGGTATTTGTATACTCTCTGCCCTACATGCTGGATGGTAAGTGTGGAATCATTTTATTCCATATCTGAAAACTATGAAGCTCTTCAAATTAGCTTGGAAGAAGTTAAATCTAAGACAAAAGATAGTGAGATCCTTGCTCAAATAGGCGAAGTTGCAGCACAGATTGACAAATTTCCTTTCTTGTTTGGAATTGAATTGGGCAAGTCTATTCTATGCATGGTAGATAATTTATCAAAAAGTTTGCAAAAGTTTACACTTTTGGCTAGTGAAGGTCAGAAAATTATTGAAAGAACTTTGATTACATTGAAATCTATCTGGTCTGAAAATTTACTTTAGCTATTCTGGAACCGTATTGAAATCAAATGAAAATTGCTTCAACTAAAAAAACCAGCTTTGCCCTGCCATTGCAAAATAACTCGTGGTTTGAAATAGGAGCATCAATATTATCTAAAAATTCTAGTTTTGACTTTTTCAAGAAGATATATTTCGAAGCTATAGAAATGACAATCGGCAGTATTCAATCTAGAGTTGAACAACAAGGATATTTAATGCTTCAAAAGGTAGAATCAGTACTTATAAATGTTTAACCTGAGGGTAGTTCGATAAATAAAGAAATTCTTGCTTTCTATGGTACAGATTTGAATGCTTCAAGCCTGTATGCACAAGTACAAGTTATGCACGAATCCACAACTGAACCATTAGACACTCTAACAAAATGGCGACTGCAGTGTATCTCAAATTGAACAACATATGCGCCACAATGCGTATTTATATGTTAATATAACACATAATTTTTTGTATTTTACAGAGACGCAAATGAAATTGAAAAGAAATCATTATCAGAAATCAGAAAGTTGATACAACTTGTCCTTCTGATACCATCAACAAATGCTACTAGTGAGAGAGCTTTCAGCACACTAAGAAGAATCAAAACTTGATTAAGAAGCACCATGAACCAAGCACGGTTAAACTGGTGTATGCTGTTAAATATACACACACAAAAAAACTGGTGAACTGAAAATCATAGATATAGCCAATAGTTTTTGTAGCCAAGGTAAGAAAAACATGCCCATATATTATACTACAACCTCCATGTTAAATAGTTTTGATGGTATATTTTGGATTGTATTTTGTATTCGGCGGTCTTCTGACATACACCCAAGAGCCTTTTACACCATAAAGCACAATCTTACTTTTGTCTGTCCATAAAATATTTCTCATTTTTTGAGTGGCCAATTTGAGTGTTTTTTTAGCAAATGCAATACGCTTTACAACATGTTTGGCACTTAGAAGTGGAACTTTTCTGGGGCTACAGGCTTTTAATCCATTAACTCTACTGTTTGTACTGTTGCATTGATGTTAAAGTCCTTTTTTTAGCTTGGTAGCTGTTTTAAAAGGTTCTTTTTTAGCCTGTTGGACTAAGCTATTGGCCAGCAATGTTGAAATAGAACGTTTTTGACCACGTGTTTCAGGCTTTTTTTGAAATTTATGGCATTTCTTATCATTTTATTGGAACACTCAACTAAACGACCAACCTCTCTATAAGATTTCCCTGCTGATATGAACTTTCAGATCAGTTCTTTTTTTTCTGCACTACAATGCTTTCTGCGTCCCATTTTTATATGTAAATGTCTCATACTAATACGCACTAACATAAAACGAACAAATCAGAAAGAAAAAAAAACCCACGCTTGCTATTTTCACAATTATTTTTACCATTATCAGAGTATTTAACATCAGAAGAGTGTGTGGTGCTATTTTATTTTTTGGTCAGAATTGGGATTTTTGATTAAAATCAAGCAACACCAAGCAGTTTTTTTCCCACAATGATTTGTTTTAGAAAATAAACATGTTAGCTAAAATTTTAAACAGCAAGGCTATAAAAAAAATTTATTTTGCATGGTGTTTTCTTAACAAAAAGGAAAATACGCTTAGTGGTGTTATTTCATTTTTCGCAACTGTGTATATATATATATATATATATATATATATATATATATATATATATATATATATATATATATATATATATATATATATATATATATATATATATATATATATATATATATATATATATATAATTGAAATTAAATTATATATTTTTTTATCAGAATAAAATTATATATATTTTTATTAAATTAGTTTTAAATTAAATCATATATTCTTTTATCAGAATTACATTATAATGATCTTTGCTTCAAGTTTAAAGTATTAGCAGCACTCTTAATAGTTTTTCAAAGCTTGCCGATCAAATGTAATTTTTTCACAAAAACATGTTATTTTCCCTTGAGTTTTTCGAAAAATTTCCCTAAAAACAGCTGATTATTGATCGTTGATCGGCCGTTATTTTTAGGTGCTGTATTTTAAGTGATAGAGCAATTTGGTAAGTGATAGGCGCGTTTTTTAAGTGATAGAGCGATAGAGTGATGCACAATAGGACATTCTATTATAACAGTTAATAAGCTATCTATATAGCAAGAGGAATGAAATCTGTATTAATTGTCACAAATTTTAGACAGTTTTCACACTCAATATATGTATATATATATATATATATATATATATATATATATATATATATATATATATATATATATATATATATATATATATATATATATATATATATATATATATATATATATATATATATATATTTATATATATATATATATATATAATAGAATGTCCTATTGTGCATCACTCTATTGTGCAGGTCCTTCTATGTCCTATCAACTTGTTAACTGTTAGAGTGGTTTTAGTAGTAGAGGAAAGAGGCTCAAGCTTGGCAGATAAAGCGTCATGTTCTACGCTGAAAATGCGTTTTTGTACCTTGTCTAAAAGAGGAAGAGCATCATTAGAAGAACCAGCCTAAACATGGCAATCATATTCCATACAGAGATAAATAAAAGATTTGTAGAGGTAGATAATGGAATCAGGAGTAAGATAACCGCAAGCATGATAAAGAGGAATTAGAAATTAGTTGAAACTAAAAAGAATTAGTTATAAAATTTCTTTAATAAATATTGCCCAACTATTTTACTCTCATGTGAAACTAAATTTTACATTCTTTATTTTATGATTTTACATTCCTTTAAAACTAAATTTAATTTTTTAATTTTCAAAATCATATTTAATATAAAGTCTTTTAATTGAAAAAATTTCTTCACAAAGCTTCTTTGCAAAGTTGTTTGTTTGTAAACATGTTACAACATGAAAAGTTTTGTTATAAATAAAGTTATATATTTATAAATAAATGAGATCTATAGTTATAAATAAATAGTTATCTAGTTATTCTAGTTATAAATAAATGAGTTGTTTATAGTTCAATAATTTTGGATTTTTAAATGATGTATATTATAATCTATGTATAGTATAGTATACATAGTATATGATTGCATATTTTGGTTTTGCATCATTCTTTTTTTAATAATAAATATAATTATGTTGATAATAATGCGTAATAAAAAATATATATATTTATTTTGTTTTAGAATATCCTTTCAAGTAATGAATTAAAATTGATTACATCATGTCGTGCTGTTACAAATAATATAAATGATAAAAAAATAGAAAAAAATGTTGATGTAAAAAAAGTTGAAAAAAATGATGTATACAAAGTTATTCGAACTCTTTCGATTCATGTCTGGCCAAAAAATGAACCAAAATTAAAAGCAAGAGTTGTAGCTGCTGTTGGATTTCTTTTTGGTGCAAAGGTTTCAAATTTTGTTAATAATTTTGAAAATTTTTGTTTTTTAATTTTTTTTTTCTTTAATAAATATCTATAGTTTCAAATTAATGTTTATACAACAAATATAAATAAAACCAACAGCAAAGCTGTAAAAAAATAAAGTAGAATCTAAATAAATAAAATAAAAATTCTAAAAGCTTAATAACATAACACCAGTGTGTTACATGGTTATTAAAGCTATTTGTGGTTTTTAAAAAAAAAATTATGTATGCATTAATCGCTTTGAGATTCTGACAACTGCAAAATGCTAAAAATGTAAATTTTGGAATAAATGAATACTGGGATTATTTTATTAAAATTTATAAAGTTAAACTTTTTTTATTATTAAAACTCACTTATACAAGCTGTCACACCTGCAATATATTAAAATTAAGTTTTTTTATATTATTCGAATATGAACAAAATTTATTTGGAGTTCAAATAAAATTTGAATTTAAATTTTAAATTGTTTCTGGAGATAACTTAATCCTTAAGTTATTTTAATAAAAGTTTTGTTTTTTATTTTTGTTTTTTATAGTTGCTAAATGTTCAAGTTCCATTCTTGTTCAAATATGCTATTGATAGCTTAAATGATTCACCACTTGTAATTAATGATGTAGAAACAGCAGTAGTTTCAACAGTGACTGCAATGATTTTAGGCTGTAAGTAGTTTATACTTGCATGTTTATTTTTTATAAAAGTTTATTTGAAAATAATGCTACTAAGACCATATATATATATATATATATATATATATATATATATATATATATATATATATATATATATATATATATATATATATATATATATATATATATATATATATATATATATTTTTATTTATTTTGAAAGATGACACCTTGTTTAAGAGTATATTATATATTATTTTAAAACATCAAGAAATACAGTTTCTCTCAATACAAATAATTTTATTATAGAAATTTTTGCTGGGTTATGGATACCAGCATCATCTGCTTGTAAAATATTACAATAATTTTAATTGTTATAGTTTATATAAAATTGTTACTATTGACGTCAGTGGTTGAATGGCTTCTTTTGATTTTTAAATTTTAAAAATGGCGTCCAACACATAGTTTTTACATATTGGCGTTCATCAAGATTAATTCTGCCGTTTCGTGCAGAGCACATTTTGTTTTGTATTTCTAGTGCCTCTCTGATTTTTCTTTCGAACTTTTTATTTTCTACCTTTAACGTTCTTGTTTTTTCCCAAATAATATCTTTGCAAAAGGTTTTATGAAATGCTAATGCAGATTGATTAGGTTTGTTTTCATTAATGCTCTTCTGATGTTGATGCACCCGCGTATTTACCTGCATTTTTGTTTCACCTATGTAAACTTTGGAGCAGTTGCATTTTATTATATAGGTTCCAGGTTGGCTGTTACTTGGTAGTTTTGTTTTGTTTTTTGATGTTAATAAAGATTTTAAATTTGGGTTTGATTTAAATATTGCTCTGTACCCTTCTTTTTGGAATATTTTTCGAAGTTTTGGTGAAAGGTCTGGTACCCAAGGAAAAGACACTACAGAAAGGTTATTGCATTCTGATGGAATTGTGTTTTTATTTTATCTTCTTTGATAAAATTTGTGTGTAATATACCTCAATAGCTTTTTGTCGTAGCCATTTTCAATAAACATGTCAATTAAAAAATTTATTTCGTTTTGCAAATGATGTTTACTACAAATGGAGTAAGCTCTGTGGAGAAAACTTTTAAATATAGCTGTTAAAATATTTGGATCGTGATTTGAGTGCGGTTTAATTTGAATGTTAGTAATTGTCTCTTTTCCATATACTTTAAACTCATATTTTCCTAGTTTGTTATTTGTAATGGTTATATCAAGAAAGTTAAGCATTGTTGTTTCATTTTCAACTTTTTTCAACAATTGTGTATTGTATTGCAGGATGTTGTTGATTTAAAATATCTTGGAACTGTTTTGCTTGTTTGATGTTAGGAAATCTTGCATGACTATTGTCAACGTATCTTTAAATAGATGAAGTGCTGGATTTATTGTCAAAGTCGTTTTAATTGCATTATTTTTATGAAATTGTAGAAAAGATTCCGCAAGAACAACCATGAAAGAAAGTCTGATTGGTCCTGAGTTTTCCATTACGCGAATCTCATTGTTCCAATGAAAATAACATTGATATAAGCAAAGTTGCTATGAGTTGCTTTATTTCAGGTATATTTAGTATTGTTAAGTAATGGTGGCTTCTTTTAACAGAATTGACAGGTACAGATTTACAACATCATAAGACACTTGAATATCATTGTTGGCGACATTCCAATTTGCTGCTTTTTTTTATTAAGTCAAAAGAGTTTTTTAATAATGTCGGATTTTTATTTAAGACTGGTTGTATTGTCTTAACTAAAAATTCTGATATTCCGTGGTTTGGTGTTAATGGTAGAAGTAATTATTCTCATAGAGCTTTTATTACTCCATACATTCGAGGTCGGATAGGATCAATTGGATATATTTTTTCGAATTCCTCCTTAGGAAAACGTTGTTTTTTATTTAGTTTTGAAAGAACTCTTCTAATTTTTGCTGTGTAACTGGCAGTAGGGTCTTCACTAATAATTTTTGTCGGAACAATTTGTTCACGGATTTTTTTCAAAGCTTTAGAATGTTCAATTCTTACAAAACCTGTTCCTTTGTCAAATGGGTATATAGCAATGGTTTCATCATTTTTTATTTCTCTAAAAGATAACCTCTGTTCTTTTGTCAGATTGTTATTAAATTTTTTCTCTGTTTTTAATATTCTTAAAATATATTTACTTAAATTTTGAGCGTTTCTACTTGTTGTTTTATTCTAATTTTAATGCAGAAGACTCTGTTGTTGTTATAATATCCATGTATGGTTTAAGGACTTTAAAGATGGTATTGGACTTTAAAGATGGTACGAAATTTGGACCAAGCTTCAGAAAATCATTGTGACTTATGGAAATATTAGTATCACAAAGGTTTAAAACTGCGTCCTTTTTATATTTTGTTGTTTTTCTCGCAATATCTTTTCCATTTGCATGTTCACTTTGAATTATGTTAAACTTTTTTATTAATTGTTCTTTTGATTTAACGAACATGCTTTCCCTTGATTTTTCAGTAATTTGTTCTAATTTAATATAGTCTTCTTAATTAAGTTTAGATTTAAGAAAGTTTTGAAGTTTTTTAACATCATTCATAAGATTAAAGAATCGTTTCTTTGAATCTTTTTTATGCAAAGTAAGAGTTCAAATCTAAAACGATAAATTATATTTACTGCTCTTTTACTTTTTATTGGAGAAGTTAATTCGTAACGACTTAATGTAAAATGCCTTAGTCACATTTTTTTACAAAAATGTATTGGTTTTTCAATTTAAAATTTAGATTTCAACTCTGTATTTACCTGTAATTAGAAATTTGAAAGATGACATCTTGTATGAGAGTATATTATATATTATTTTAAAACATCAAGAAATACAGTTTCTCTCAATACAAATAGTTTTATGATAATGCTGTTATCCATAACCCAGCGACAATTTCTATAATAAAATTATTTGTATTAAGAGAAACTATATTTCTTGATGTTTTAAAATAATATATATATATATATATATATATATATATATATATATATATATATATATATATATATATATATATATATATATATATATATATATATATATATATATATATATATATATATATATATATATAAATATATATATATATTAGGGTGGAGGGATTTTAAAAATTTTCGAAATTTGATTTGCCTGAGCTGTGAATCGATGTCTTATGGTGAAAAAAGAACCTTACTTTTTTTTTTTTTAATTTAGATGAGTTCTTGAGGTTCCTCTTTTGATTCTAAATTTATGACGAGTCCTAATATTGCTGAAATTTTTTTTCTTCTAAACTATATTATATCAATCTGGTACTCAAAAGAAGCAGAATAATATGCTAATTTTGAAAATAATATTTGTTTTAATTCTAAGCTAAAAAATAAAAAAGTAGTGTTGTTTTTTTCATAAAAAACCCCCGTCTTCATCAAAACGGGGGTTTTAAGGTATATTTTTGCAAATTTTTTTTTACTAAAAATTTTTTTTTTAATAAAATTATTATTTATAAAACAAGAATTTTTTTCTGCTTTTTTTAAGTCCGAGGTTGATATGGTTTCAAAAAAAAAAAAAATTAAAAATATTAGGACCCATCAAGAATTTAGAATCCAAAGAGGAACCTCAAGATCTCATCAAAATCAAAAAATATTTTTTTACTTTCATCTTATAATTAATAGACATCGATTCGTGTCTCAGGAATATTGATTTTTAAACTTTTTTTTTTTGCTATGAAAATCGCTCCACACTAATATATATATATATATATATATATATATATATATATATATATATATATATATATATATATATATATATATATATTTTAACATCTTCGCAAGGCTGCAAGCAACCACTATTAGAGTTAGAAGTTACTGGAAGAGAAAAGATAAAGTTTGTAGAGCAAAATAACAATTGACAGACAACTTAAAAGGTTGTAAATTATATAAATCAGGAAAGCAAGATGAAGAAAGCAAATTCCAAATAACTGATTTTCAAGGAAAAAAACTAAATGAGTTTTTAGAAAATTTTTTTGAAGCATTTAGGAATAGTCATAGTAAAAGGATGAGACTAAATGACGAGTAACATGAGAATGAATTTTAGTAGATAGCACAAGAGATGCTAGCTCTTTAGAGCAGTGCCTGTTATAGTATTTGTAGAAGAGAGAAAAAGAAGCAACTTTACAACATGATAATGGTTGGGGGTATGCTGCAAGATCAAGTCCAACTATGTTTACAATGCGTTTTTGCACCTTGTCTAAAAGAGAATGGGCATCATTGAAAGATCTGCTTTAGATATGGCAATAGTATTCCATACAAGGATGGATTTGAGATTTATAGAGGTAGAGCATAGAATCCAAAGTAAGAAAGTGGCGAACATGATAAAGAGATGCAACCTTCAGGGCCGACGACACAGGTTTCAAAGTGGGGGGGCACAACCGTCAATTCTTAAAAACAGTCAAGTCTAAAAAAAAATCTAGAATTTTCTTACTTTTCAAAAAAAAAAAAGGTCCTTTAGGAAAAAGTGTGTGTGTGGGGGGGGGGCATGTGCCCCCTGGCCCCCTGTGTCATCGACCCTGACCTTAGCAGATGGTAATTTTGCAATTGATTTAATATATGGTTTCCAAGAAAGATCGAAAGTAAGATGAAGGGTTGATATCTGGTCGAGTTTATCACCATCCATAAATATAGGAAGATCTCAATTATTGAGGTAATGATTTAAAAAAAAAAATTGGGTTTTATCTGAATTAAAGTTCACCAGCCATTGTGAGCCCCATGTTGAGCAAAAGTAAGATCCTTTTCAAGCTCAAATGCCCCCTCCAAGCAATCAGAGAGTGTTGGCTTCTTATCATGACAAGAATTAATAGTAGTATCATCAGCAAACAATGCCACCTTAGATGTTAGAATATCTGGAAGATTGTTAATGTAAATTTAAAAAAATATAGGGCCAAGGATTGAACCTTGAGAAACCCATGAGGTTACAGAATAAGAAGAGTGCTGTCCATCAAGGACATTTTTTATACTACGATTGGAAAGGAAGGATTCAATAATCTTAAAAATATTTCCAGATTCACCATAAGAAGAAAGCTTATGGAGAAGACCAGCATGCCGAACTTTATCAAAAGTTTTAGAAATATCAAGAGCGATTGCCTTAACCTCTCCACCTCTATCTAATGCACGATAAAACCTATGGGTTATTATTGTTAGCAAAGCAACTATAGAATGAGAAGATTGAAATCTATATTTATGATCAGAAAGTAAGTTATGAGATTCAAGATGAGAGATTAGGTGTTTGTTAATTAAAGATTCAAAAACCTTACTTATGGTATGAAGAACACTAATGAGATGGTAGTTAGATGAGTCAGATCGCTCTATAGAATTTTGAAAATACTGATAGCAGATGCCGCTTTCCAGCATGCCGGAAAACAAGACTCCCATAAGCACTTGTTAAATAGTTTTGAAAGTATAGACGATAGCTCCGGAGAACTCTTCTGCAAGACTATAACAGATATGATGTCCGGACCACAAGCTGTAGAAGAGTCTAAGCAGGAATCACTTTAGATACAGAAGCTGGAGTAATACATATGTCAAGCAATGGATCAACCTGTTTGTCGGCAATATCAGGTAGAATGCAACTAGTGTAAGCAAGAGACAATATTGATGAAAAGTTCTTAGCAAACAAATCTGCTTTATCTTTAGATGAGGTGACTAAATCTGAACTGTACAAGAGAGGTAGAATAACAGATTTGCCCTTATATTTGCATTGTTAAATATTTTCCAGAAGTCATGAGAGCCTAATTTTTAAGATAAAATACGAGATTTCATGACCTGAGAATAGCTGGCTTTAGCGTTAGACAAAATCTTTCTACAATGGTTTCTAGTGATAGTAAACAGCAAAACAATTTTCCAGATAACAGATGTCTATCTGTTTTCTGGAGAATTGTTTTGCTGATAGATATGGAAGTAATGGTTTCAATTGGCAATTGCAGCCGCACAGTGTGAGGAAAACCACGGAAAAGAGTGAGGCTTGACCTGGAATTGTTGAGAGGGAATAAAAGATTCCATGCTAGCCTGAATCCAAGAAAATATGTAAGTAGCACATTTATCAGGAGAAAGATTTCTACCCATAGGCCATCACAAAAATTAAGGAAAGAGTCAGCTTTAAGGTAGTTGTAAGAGGTAGGATGGTAGGGGATTTAGATGATAAAGAAAAATGAGATTTAGTTAGAGAGAGTTTTAGAGAGATCAAACCGTGATCTTAAGCACCTGAGGGTGAATGTGGAGAAAACTAGCACTAACTAAGATCAGAAACAAGACATAAGTTAAGTAGGAAAGATAAATGGATTGGGTTGTCTGGAAAGCATTGTATTATAAAAAAATCTGTGCCAATGGCACAAGATTTATAAAAAAATCTGTGCCAATGCCTAATCAATGGGGTGTGGGGCTGGTCAACAGATAGAATTTGTTTACCCCTTAAGTCTTTGCCTGGGAGGCCTTCTACAAAACAGTAGTCAGATATGTTTGATATCTGCCCAAAATAAGTTTTTTTATCTAGACACCTTCTCTAGCCTTCCTCAAAGTCACCTAAGGCAGGGGGTGTTATGAGTTAGAGTTGGCTTTTCCTAGCTTTTGCCTAAAAAAGCGTATACTATGAGGCAGCAGGACATGAAGCAGGTTGAATAAAATATAAATTGTAGCTGGTTGTATCAAATATATTATATAAAATTATATTAGAGCAGGTTGTGTAAAATATATAATATAAAATTATATTAGAGACTTTAGTTGGATTCTTCTAATTGTGCATTTTAACTCAATAGTTTATTTTCTGATGAACTTTTGTTATCAACACTCCAAAAGCTTGTGGGCTAGCGCCTTTTTAATTTACTGAACTTTTTTAACTAAATTTTTAGGAGCCTATTTAAAATTTTCTAGTTTTTAAATACATTTTTTTAAAAAGAGCAATTATTATGTTCATTATCTCTAGTAATTTGTTTTAACGTTGTTATTGTTTTAACCTCAACATAAAGGAAACAATTTCAGACAGGCATTAAGTATTATAAATACATTTATAAAAAAAACAATTCTTTTATTTAATTTCTTCTCTTCTCTTATATGAAAGAAATATATTTATATTTATTATTCAATTTGTAACATATTTTTTATATATTATTTTTTATATATTGTTATATATTATTCAATTTGTAACAATAGAAAATGTTTTTAGTCGATTGGTTAAAATATAAAACAAAAAATTGTCATAGGCACAGAGATACTTAGATTCAATATTTCAGTCTATAAATAACCAATTAGAACAATTAAAACCAGAAAAATAAATTTAAATCATGAATTCTATTTGTCGGATTTAAATCATGGTTTAAATTAAGTGATTTAAACTATAACAGCCCTGTTTAGAACTCTCTCTCTCATCTTCCTGTTTTCCTGTCTCATACAACCTGCTACTTATCTACCAGTCCATTACTTTTTAAGTCTTCTTTCAACATGTTACCCTGTTCTTTAACATGATTCTTTGTTTTCTAATAACTCCAACATAATAGTGATTGCTTGCAGCCTTGTTGGGAGTAAATTAGTATTTTTTTAAAAAAAAAGAAAAAAGGACATCTTAACTTTCATGTAAACTGCTGCTTCTATAGTTGGTTATTCATTTTGCACCCTAGTTCAATAAAAATATGAATAATAATAATAATAATAATAATAATAATAATAATAATAATAATAATAAAATCTGCTTTTATATGATCTTCAAATTATACATAGTTTGAATTTTTATTGTTTTTATTGTTTTTTTATTTTGATTTTTAAAATAATCTCATTCTCTATTTTTTTTCTTGATTTTTCTGTTGCAATCATTACTTACCGTTCTCTTTAACTTTTTTTTTTTTTTTACAGTTGCTTTATTCAACTCGCAGATTTTAATTATCACATGATTTTTCAATCTATATAAATGTTTGTTTCAAACGTAAACCTTGATATTATTCATGATTCAATTGCGTTTCATTTTTTCCTTTTTTTTTTATATGATTGATGCTTTTTTTTTCGCATTAATTTTATTTAATTTTTTTTTTGTTCTGAAAAATATATGAACTATTTTTAAAAACTTTAAAATCAAATAAATCTCCTCACAAGGAGTGTTAAAAAAGTACAAAAAATGTTTAAATATAGTAATATATAATAGAATTAGTTTATTGTTTGAAAACTAAGTTTTCTCTTTTAAATAAGTCATCAGAATTAAATTGCTTTTAAAGATGGAGCTGCTCGAACAGGCAGTTGTTTGTTTAATGAACTGAGAAATGCGGTGTTTGCACAAGTTACTCAGAATGCTATTCGAAAAGTTTCCCGTGAAACTTTTATGCATCTTCATAAACTTGATATGAGTTATCATCTTTCAAGACAGACTGGTATGTTATCTAAAGCTATTGATCGTGGAACAAGGTATACTATTTTTACTACATAAATTTTCTATTAACAAATATTTTTAAACTTCTTTATATATATATATATATATATATATATATATATATATATATATATATATATATATATATATATATATATATATATATAAATTTTAACAATTGTTTTTTAGATTCAAAAAGTTCTAAAATTTATTATTACTTTTTTTTTTAATTTAATTTTGTTAAAGTGTGAAATTTTAAAAATGACTTAAAGTTGTTATTACCTATTATTAAGATCAATTAATTTATAAAAAAAAGAACTTTATGTTTAAAAATAAATATCAACATTAGAGTAATAAATACAAGCAATGGATCAATAATAATATTTAATTTTTATTAACAGCATGATTATGTTAATCCTAATGGTGTTTGCACCCACAAAATGAATGAAATGACTAAAATTTTGATCATCTATAAAATGTTTTAGCAAAACGTTTTTATGCAATTTTTTTTATAAATATTTTCTTAATGTTATACCTTAATGATTGATGACCTTAATGAATATTAATTTTTTTTTAAATTTGCTTCTCATTTTTGCTTTAAGCCTCAAGTTCTTATAGAACCCCAAATTTTTTATAACACTATTTTTCACAATATTTTCTTTAACATGATATTCTCTACAACACAATATTTTAAAGAACCCCAAATTTTTTATAACACTATTTTTCACAATATTTTCTTTAACATGATATTCTCTACAACACAATATTTTAAATTACCCCTTCTTTATTTATTAGGCTGGCGCAGATGTATTTTTAATACATTGTTTCCAGTTTAGGATGTTGAATGCTGGATCTTCTTGACTCGATGCATGGGTTTTGCTTGTGTCTCTGTTTTTATGACTAGGCAACTCATTCTATTATCTCCTGATAAGGGTATAGCTCTAAAACTCAGTTTTATGGTTCTGAGGCCTGCTGGTAGTCAGGTTTTCCGAACTCTGTGGTAGCTCTCAGAGAGGCTGATTTCATCAACAGCTGAAAAATATCAAAGTATTAACAGTGCAATGTTGCGCATGGGTGTCCCTGTTTGTACTTTTGGTGTGCATTGCCAAGGCCACATTGGAGCCCTTTTGTTATGGCTTATGCTTTATTAATAATAATAAGGAAATTGCTTGGGCTATTAAACAGTGTACTGAGTACTATCTATGCTTCGAGTCAAGTTCTTTAACAAATTTTAACAAAAAAGTAACAAAAACTATTAAACACTAAAAACTATTGCTATCACCAAGTTCTCTAAACCTATCATTCACTAATATTCATGGTATTTGAAGTAACTTTTCTTCTGTTGTATCTTATCTCTTGCAAAGTTCACTAGACCTACTTGCTCTTTGTGAGACTAATTTGAGTTCAGCTGTCTTATCTTGTGTTGATGGTTATCTTCCTATTCGTAAAGTCTCCAATAGTCAACTCTAGACAACCCCAATCAACTCTAGACAACCCCAATCATTTACCTTCTCTACTTGACTTTTGTCTTGTTTCTTATCCAAGTCAGTGCTTAGTTTCTCCACATTCACCCTTAGATACCACATCCAGCCTCTAATCACATTGATCTCTCTAAAACTATTATTTCATTCTTCTTTATCATCAGAATCCCCCTATCATCGTACATATTACAACTACCTTAAAGCTGACTGGGACTCTTTCTGTGATTTTCTTCGTGGCGGTCCTTGGGTAGAAATCTTTCGTCTTCCTGTTGACAAATGTGCTTCTTACATAACTTCATGGGTTCAGGCTGGCATGGAATCCTTTATTCCCTCTTGGCGATTCTAGGTTAAGCCTCACTCTTCTCCATGGTTTTCCTCACATTGTGCTGCTGCAATTGTCAATTGAAACCATTACTTCCATATCTATTAGCAAAAAAATTCTCCAGAAAACAGAGGTCTGTTTATTACTGCTAGGAACCATTGTCAAAAAGTTTGTCCAATGCCAAAGCCCGCTGTTCTCAGGTCATCAAATCTTGTTTTTCATCACAAAAATTAGGCTTTTTTGACTTTTGGAGAATCTTTAATAGTATCAATAATAAACTGGTGAACTTTAATTTAGATAAAACTCAATTTTTTTAAGCCAATTGTTATTGGAATAATTTAGACCTTCCTATATTTATGAACGGAAATCTACCTGATGAGTCATCTACCGTTCATCTTCTAGGAATAACTCTTACTTCCGATCTTTTTTGGAAACCATATTCAAATCCGTTGCAAAATTACCATCTGCTAAAGTTGCATCTCTTAATCGAACTGGACACTTTCTTACTTCTTAAATCTCATCCCTTTTCTGTGACTGTTCCTAAGCGCTCCAAAAGCTCTTATTCCTCTAGTTTTTTCCTCGAACATCAGTTCTTTGAAGTTCGCTTCCTTCATCTTGCTTTCCTGATTCATATAATTTGCATACTTTTCAGTTGTCTGTCAATCTTTATCTTGTTCTACGATTTTCATCTTTTCTCTTCCACTTTTAACTCTAATTAGTGGTTGCTTGCAGCCTTGTTGGAAGCGAAAAATTTTTAAAAAAATTGCTTCAACAGGGCTGTGGTGTGGCAGTCATAACATTTTTAGCAGAGTCGGAGTCGCTTAACAAAAACGCGACTACAACTCCAATAGTAAAACTTTTCGGTATTGTAGATGCATGTACAAAATATTCAATTAACTATATCAAAACCGTAATACAAGTTTGTAAAATGTGCAAAACCGTAATACAAGTTTGTAAAAAGTTAATAATACAAGTTTGTAAAAAGTTAATAATACAAGTTTGTAAAAAGTTTTAAGGGTTTACATAAAACAAATGTTTTTTTTTTTTTAATTTAATCTTTTTGTTTGCGTGTTTTATTATACTATTAACAATTGATTACACATTCCCACCAGATAAATATCAAAGTTTATCAAAGTCTTTTATCAAAATCAGCAATCACTTGATAATGTATTATTATCTTGCTACATTAAAAAATCAAATTAATAAAACAAACATTTTAATAATAAACACTCACACAATAAATTTTGGTATAGTAATTTAGTTCATTATGAAAAATTATTAACTTATCAAGTCAATATAAAAATTATTCACAAATATAAGTAAATATGTATACTAACATTTAGTATGCCAAGTATGCAGTAAAATATATTGTAAAGTTAGTTTACCCTATACTGTAGATGGTAATCCTTAGTTAAAATAAAGTTTTTTATTTGATGTTTTTCTTTGCTTAACTTAAATTTTATTTTATTTCAGACAGCAAGTACAAGTTCATAATTAATATAAAAGATATTAAACTATGATTGTCTAAAGCAAAATAAATTCTTTCATATTAATTGTTTTTTACTTGGTATTTTTAGAGTTACTTCTAAAATAAGATTTTCATGCCTTACATTTGTCCATTATGTATTGTCCATTATGTAAATGCGATAAGTTTTTGTTTTCTTAAGATGCATTAGGGTGTAGCATGGAATTGCTCAATAGACTTTTTCAAGATTTTAAAAACTTTTTTTGTTGAAAACAATTCAAAAGCATTTAAATTTTTATTAATTTTTTTTTTTTTTTTTTTTACATCATTGAATTTTTTTTTTACTTCTATCATTTATTTGAATCAAAACCAAGTCCTATTTAAATGTTTTTTGTGTTCATTTAGATCATTTTAATCACATTTTTATTAAAGTGTTAACAGAGAAGTTTTTTTTAGTTTTAGTTCACCTCCTCAAGGCTGAGAAGGCCACTACAGATGAGGAGGATTCTAAATTATGTTTTTAACCCTCTCTCAACACTATAACTCCGAAACATAAACCTTGACGAACCTTGATAAGGCCGCTGCATGGAGAAACAAGTTGATTGCAGTACTACCAGGGATTAAACTCAGATTGAAGTTAAGTTAAAGTGTAAACAGAGAGTTAAGCAAGATAATGGTTTTTTTGATTAGTAAAATAGTTAACCAGTTATTGTTTTTCTTTCCAAATACTGTTCTTTTCTTATTTAAAATTTTTTTATTATTCAGTCATTAGTGAAATACAACTGATAATTTTATAGACCAAACCTACTGTTGATATAAATTATGATAAACTGTATGATGAATCAATATCATATTATCTTGAGCATCTTTTTACCTTAATCCAATGATTTTCATGTCATCTGCAATCCCCTGAAATTGCTAACAGTTTGCATTCTGATGTCAAATCATTTACATCTTTGACCCCTATATGCTTAAACCACATCAATTTTGAAATAAAATCAGATGCATTTACTGTTCCAATATCTACCTTAGGTTGTTGCTTTTTTATATCTGTTGAAGTCTCACTGCAAATCCTACTAATCATTAATCTTTTCTTTTATTTCTAAACCCTGAACATTATCAACCTTTGTTTCCCAGGTTTTACTGTCATATATCATATATATGCCATAAATGAACATTTCATTTTAACAAGTTTATAGTTAGCATAGAATAGGTTTCTTGCATAGTACACCAAAACTGAAACCTTTAAAGAGAAAAATAGTCAAAATGGACATCAATAAATAATAGTTAGTATTCAGGCTTGGTCGGAAAGCGGGAGCAATCGCTCTCGATTGCTGACCACATAAATAATATTTAGTTGCGAAAAGCTGGCCATATCTTTTAGTCGTTTTGAGAACATTTTAAAAAGCAAAAAAAAAAGCACAAAAGATTAATTGGATCAATAAGAGACAATTACAAAAAAAAAAAAAAAAATTAGCGAAACTGCTTCACAATATCGCTAAAGCAGGAAAAAGTATAACAAGTTTTAAGAATGGAAACTTAAGCGAAAATAATTAGAGTTAATAAACCAATATCTAGAAACTTTTCTTTATATCTAATTATTTGCTATATATATTTGTGTTCTGTCGTGACCTCAAACGCGACGCTTGTTCATCCGCGAGTTACTTTGTATGCGTTGTTTGTGTTTAGTAACCAGAAACTTCTTATATGTTTGTTACATAATTAGTTTTATTAACTTTAATGATTATAACTTCATTGAAAATGCAATTATTTCTGTAAGTCTTTGATTAAATCATAAAAATGCTTTAAAAGACTCATTACGATAAAAAACAGTTGCACAAAATATTACATTTACATAAAGAATGCATACTTTTTAAATAAAAATAAGAATGTACTAATAAAATCTATAATTTATAATAAACTTTTAAAATTTTGACAATTTAATTAATAAATATTTAAAACATTTATTTTTGTAAACAAATAATATATATTCTTAAAACAATTTATGCTAGAAATCTCAAAACGTAACAAATCGTGAATAATACAATTTTTAAAACATTTCAACAGAATACTCTAGAACTTTATTTCGCTTAGTCAGCGTATTTTTTGAACCAATAGAATTAGTTTGTTCGTTAATTTGGCAGGTTTTTAGTGTTCGCGAATATTCTTTTGATTCTTTCACACTAAGATGTTTAGAGAACGATCAAGATTTTTATGTTTCCATGTATGTTCATTAAACAAAAGTTTTTTGTTTTGTACATAAAAAATGTTCTCAAAATGACTAAAAAACCTGGCCAGTTTTTCGCAACTAAATATAATTTCCATGGTCAGTATTCGAGAGCGATCACTCCCGCTTCCTGACCAAGCCTGAGTATTTATACTAACTTTATTATTTATTATACATGTATTTTCAAATATTTTTTTTTTTTTAGTGGAATTGCTTATTTTTTACATGCTTTGGTGTTCAACATTTTTCCTACAATTTTTGAAGTGTCACTTGTCAGCTGCATACTTGTAAGAAATATTTTATAAATTGCTAATAAAATTTTTATTTGTTGTTGTTGAAAATCTTTTGGCAACAACATTTATATTACATTATACAAAACACTGTTATATTATACACTGTTAACTATTCAAATTTGATTTAATATTTTATTAAATAACATTTTATTGTTAACTATTCTGTTGTCCATTGATTGAAAAATCTTGAAAATGTTGTTTGGAAATTTTTTTATTAAAACATTTTGAGACTTTTCAAGTGCTTTTCGTGAAAATATTCTTGACTAAAATCTAAAAGTGAATAAATCAATTAAAAGGCAACCAATTGAATAAATCAATTTTCAATTGGTTGTCAACCAATTGACAACCAATTGTTTATCAGTTAAAAATTATTGAAACATTGTTAAGAAATTTTTTTAATAAAACATTTGAAGTGTTTTTATTCTTATTCTTGGTTTTAATTTAAAAATGAATAAATCAGTTCAAAGGATTTTTTTAACTAATTAGTTAATATTCTATTGTAAAAAAAAAAAAATAATAATCTAAAAACTGTTTTATTAAATAGCGCGAAACCCCTCACACTAACAAGGTTAGTTGAGTCAGAAAAATGTGGGAGAGTGTTCCAAAAGGTTGTGTGAAATAAAATTAGACGAGTAAAAGTATCTAGAGCATGCAGCGACGGATGTAAAAGGAGTGGTCAAAACATTCTCCAGAGTTTAAAAAAATTGGAGCTACAGATGCCATTTTCCAGCAGCAAGAAAACAAGATTCAGTCAAACACTTATTAAATAGTTTGAAGAGAATTGAAGAGAGCTCTAGAGAACGCTTTTGTAAGACTATAATAGGAATGTTGTCTGAACCACTAGCTGTAGAAGAGTTTAAATGATTTTAACAACAGAAGGTTGAGTGATTTTAATGTCTAACATTCGGTAAACTTGTTTAACTGAGAAGATCTGGCAGAAGATTTTAATTTATTTTATAACTTGTAATTCAGTTCTGATTTAGTTTTATAAAAAATAGTTAACTTTTAATACTTAACTTTTAACTCTCACGCTAAATCAAATTTGATTTACATATTAGCTATCAGTTACCATTCATGCCTGTTGCATATTAAATGATCATGCGGGAAACCTACAAAAGTATGTAAAAATATTCTTAATGCTATAGAATATAATAAACATCATTGATTGTGCTGATCTGAAAGTAGTTGCAATCCTAACTTGATAGTCAATTTATTTTAATCAAATTTACCTTTTTTTTTTTTTTTTTTTTTTAATTTGCATTCACTCCCAACAAGTCTGCAAGCAACCACTATTAAGTTGGGAGTTACTAGGGAAAAAAAAGAACAGAGTTATTTTTTTTCCCTAGTAAACATGAAGGTGGGAGAGAATTCCAAAGGATTGAAGTGCGGGGAAAAAAACTAGATGAATAAAAGTTTTTAGAGCATGCAGGGACAGATACAGTAAACAAATGAAACTTAGCTAAATGACGAGTAAAACGAGAATAAATTTTAGTTGATGGAACTAGAGATGATAACTTCTTTGAGCAGTGACCATGATAGTATTTGTAGAAAAGAGAAAGAGATGCAATTTTACGACGATGGGAAAGAGGCTCAAGCTTAGCAGATAGTCCAGGTCCAAGAATATTTACAATGCGTTTTTGGACCTTGTCAAGAAGATAAAGTGAATCGTTAGAAGAACCAGCCCAAATATGACAACAGTATTCCATACAGGGACGAATAAGAGATTTGTAGAGGTAGAGAAAGGAATCAGATGTAAGGAAATGGCGAGCACGATAAAGAGAAGCAACTTTAGCAGAAGCTAATTTAGCAATCGATTGTATATATGGTTTCCATGAAAGGTCAGTAGTAAGCGATAATCCAAAAAGACGTAAAGAGGAGGACTTAGTAAGAAGATTGCCATTCATTAATATAGGAATGTTGACCATATTGCGGTAGTTGTTTGCAGTAAACAACTGGGTTTTGTTAGAGTTGAAATTCACAAGCCACTGTGAACCCCAATCTATTACTGAAGTGAGATCGGATTCAAGATCAGCTGCTTGTTCTAGGCGATTGAAAAGAGAAGATTTTTTGTCAAGACAGGAGTATAAAGTTGAGTCATCAGCAAAAAGAGCTACTTTAGATGAAAGGTTGTCAGGAAGATCGTTTATGTAGATAAGAAACAAAACAGGGCCCATGATGAAACCTTGGGGAACCCCAGAAGTTACTGGAAATAAAGAAGAGTGTTGGCCTTCAAGGATGATTTGAATAAACTGGTTAGAAAGAAATGATTTGATAATCTCAAAAACTTTCCCAGAAACACCATATGAAGCAAGCTTATGGAGAAGACCAGTATGCCAAACTTTGTCGAAAGCTTTAGATATGTCGAGAGCAATAGCCCTAGCCTCACCGCCTCCATCTAATGCACGGTAAAATCTTTCAGTTACAGCAGTTAGCAAGTCGGCCATAGAGCGAGAGGATCGAAAACCGTATTGATTGTCTGACAGTAGTTTCTTTGACTCAAGATGAGATGTGAGGAATATGTTGATCAAAGACTCAAAGACCTTGCTAATAACAGAAAGAAGACTAATCGGACGATAATTGGAGTGTTCAGAATTTTCTCCAGAGTTTTTGAATATTAAAACCACAGATGCCATTTTCCAACAAGCAGGAAAACAAGACTCAGTCAAACACTTGTTAAATAGTTTAGAGAGAATTGAAGAAAGTTCTGGAGAACAATTCTGCAAGACTGTGACAGGAATGTTGTCTGGACCACAAGCTGTAGACGAGTTTAATTGAGATATGACTTTAGCAACAGAAGCCGGAGTGATTTGAATGTCTAACAATGGGTCAACCTGTTTGACTGGAATGGAAGGAAGAGAATGTCCATAAGATTCAAGAGTGGAATTAGAAGAAAAGTTCTTTGCAAATAGTTCTGCCTTATCCTTGGGAGAGGTAATAAGATCAGTCCCATGAATGAGAGATGGAATGTTAGATCTACCCTTGTTAATAATGCTGTTGAAGATTTTCCAAAAGTCTTTAGAGCCTAACTTCTGTGATAAGATGCGAGATTTAGTGAACTGAGAATAATAGAGTTTAGCATCAGAAAGCAACTTTTTACATCGATTTCTTGCAATAATAAATAGCCGTTTGTTCTCAAGAGAGTTGTTCTTTTGAAAAAGATGAAAAAAATGATTACAATTGGATATAGCAGCCGCACAAGAAGGAGAAAACCATGGAGTAGAATGAGGCTTGACTTGAAACCGATGAGAAGGAATAAAAGCTTTCATTCCAGCCTGAATCCAGGAGGTTACGTAGGAGGCGCATTTATCAGCTGAGAGAGAAAAAACATCAGCCCAAGGACCATCACAAAGAAAATCACGAAAAGAATCCCAGTCAGCTTTAGGGTAGTAGTAGGTGGTGCGATGATAAGGTGTGCCTAAAAAAGAAGTAGGAGAAGAAAGATTTATAGAGATTATTGCATGGTTAAAACCACCTAAGGGAGAAAAGGGAGAAACTGAACATAAGCTAGGGTCAGAGACAAGACATAAGTCAAGGAGTGAAGGTAAATGATTAGGGTTGTCAGGAAAACAAGTCACAAAGTTAATTATCTGAGTAAGAGATAGAGAAACGCAGAAGTTAAAGGCTTTAGTGCCAGCAAGATCAGTGGTGTTAGAGCCAAGCCATTCAGTGTGATGGGCATTAAAATCACCAACAACAACAATATTGATAGAGGGGTAAAGAGAGAGGACATGGTCAATTTGATCAGAGATAACATCTAAAAGAGTGCAATCATGGGAAGAAGGAGAACGATAAAGAACAAAGAGAAAGGTGATAGAGTGAAGAGGTGCTAGGCGAAAGCACATAAAAAAATGGTCAAAGGATTCGAATCTGATTTTAAGACAATTTTAAGGGAATTAATGCGTATGTATACCCCTAAACCTAGCATGTGACTATTGGAGTCTTTACAAATCAAAGGATAGTACCCATCAACACTGACATCTGAAGAAGGAATTGCAGAACTTAAATTTGTTTCACTGAGTGCAAGCAAGTCTGGTGAATTTTGCAGGAGGTAAGACTCAACTGACAGAAAGTTGCTTCGCAGACAAAGAATATTTGTAAAAGATATATTAAAACATTTAGGTGGTGGGGATAGTTTTTTAGGTTTTAAATTTTTGGTTACTTTGGTCATGACTTGGGTTTAATGAGAATGTGACTCATTCATAGATAGAGCACAGCCTCCTAATTTATGAGCTATGCAGTTGTCTCAGTCCTGTTAATTAACCCTAAGCCGTGACATAAGGCATAAGGTTAATACTCTGATATTTTGCAGCTGTTGATGGAATCAGCCTCTCTGAGAGCTACCACAGAGTTCGGGAAACCTTACTACCAGCCGGCCTCAGAACCATTAAAGGGATCCCAAACTCCCAACACATGTTGTGTTCATATTAAAGATAATGTTAAAAAAAAAGGTTTGAACCAAATTTTTTTGATTAAAAATAAATAATGAATGCATACCGAGAAAAACAAATGTTGTTGTTTTTGCCGAAGCTCGTCTTCTCCATTTTTTTCAACTAATCGGAGTCTTTAAATTATGCGTCGCAATCTGCAGACTTTGGCAATTCCTTTGAAGCGCGTTTAATTCATAAAAGTTTTAGTATTTAACGTCACGATAGACTTTTAACAAAAGAAAAGTGTAATTAAACTAAGTTGCGTTTTTCTACTGTAGTATTTTTTTAACATACAGCAAAACAAATTTATTTGTATTATTTTTCTTAACATTGCAAAAAAAGTTTTGTAAAAAGTAAAAACAATAAATTATTTATATTTTATAGGAGCAACTTATTTTTTACAGATATCTTAATAATTTTCAGATTTATATATCTTACTTATATTTCTTTAATTATTTAAATTAAAACAAATATTGAAGCTTTACTTACCAATCTCATGATTTTCATACGAGTATTTTACATTATATAGAACGTTTTATATACGGTCTCTTGTTTTAGCGCAAGAGAGCGCAGTATTATATATTCTGATTCTTAATTATTTTTATTTAAACAATGGGAACTATTTTCTAACTTCTCTGGTTATTTTTACGCTATGACAATTTTTTGTTTTCTCGTTGAAAAAAAGTATTTATTAACAATTACTTTCATAAACTAACAGTATTAATTAGAGATATTTAATGAATTGTTAACTTTTTTTAATATAAAATTTTTTTGATCACGCTAATTTAATTTAAATTGCTAAATTTGCTGAATTGGATACGGATAAAAAGGAAATACCATTTTATTTTACATTTGATTTTTGATAATGAAATTTTTAAAATGTCAGCAACTCCATACCAATTAGAACCTGTTAAGATTATGAAAAAAAATTCAAGAATACACTAAACAATAGTTTAGTGTATTTTTGTACTTTTTTTTAAACACTTGACAGTAGTATCAGATATGAAAATTCGTTCATTGAGATCCTGATTTTGCATTAAAAGTACAATTAATTGCAACACAAGTCGGTATTATAAATCTTGATTATAAGTTTACTGTTCAATATTTTATAAACTAATATTTAACCAAAATACGAACAAATTATTATTAAATAACGCAATAATTAACACATTAATTAAAGGCAATAATTCAAGATTGATAGTAATTTAAATTGTTAAAATGTTAAACGCGCATTAAAAAACATATTATATTTGGTATTTCCAAATTTGTGTCGTAATTGGCATTTGTCTCTTAACATGAAAAATTAAAAATTTTTAAAAACACAATTAACAAATACAAATTTTCAAGCAATTTTCTCTTCCAATTCTCATTTATTCAAAGAAAATTAAACTATTAAACTTTTATTTCTCTCATCTAAAAAAAGAGTGAGTGACGCAAAAAATATATATATTCTTTACAACTCTTATTCATTCAAAGTTTAATTGCGCGAAACCTTTCTTTCTCTTTTGTTCTACTCTTTTATAAAAAGAGCGCCCGATGAAATAAAAACTTTTATTTTTTAATATATAATTATAGTTTGAGATAAAATTAAATTAGAAATAAATCAACAATGAGCAAAGCAACGAACAGATTAATCTGGAACTATTTTGATATTTATGAAAATAATCAACATAAACAACATTACCAACAACTGTTATCAAATAAACAACACAATCTCTCATAAATTTAGAGGCATTTTATTTTTATTGCTTAGTCGTTCTAAATTATTATTTAGATAAATTAAGTAAATTTAGTTCAAGTTAATAATTCAATATTTACAGTTGCAATATAATAAAGAAATGGTGTTTAATACTGAACTTTTTATTTAGTTATTTATTTTTTTACCTACATTTGTTATAAAAAACTTTAGAACCCCCGTCATTAAAATAATTTGTTTTAAATATATTTCGACGTGATTATTCAAACTAATTTTTTTCGTTTGACTTTCCGAACTTCATGCAAAGCAAATTGAAACGAAATATCGTTTAACCAAATAAAAAAGCTGTTACTAATTTTATACGGGTAATTAATGTAAAACAATTTTTGAGATAATAAATATTCATAATTTATAAACATTAAATATATGGCGCAATAACAATTTATAGCAACGAACCAGCATAAAATATTTAAGGTTTTTAATATCTTTTTAAATATTAAAAGTAGAAAAAAAAAAAAACTAAATAACCAAAAAAACTTCGACTAAAAATAAATAAAAATATTTCCAGAGTTTCTTTTGTTAAAAGTCTACCGTGACGTCAAATTCTAAAACTTTTATGAATTAAACGCGCTTCAAAGGAATTGCCAAAGTCTGTAGATTGCGACGCATAATTTGAAGACTCCGATTAGTTGAAAAAAATGGAGAAGACGAGCTTCGGCAAAAGCAACAACATTTGTTTTTCTCGGTATGCATTCATTATTTATTTTTAATCAAAAAAATTTGGTTTAAACCTTTTTTTTTAACATTATCTTTAATATGAACACAACATGTGTTGGGAGTTTGGGATCCCTTTAAACTGAGTTTTAGAGCTGTACCCTCATATGGAGATAACAGGAAGAGTTGCATAGCTATTATCAAGGAGGCATAAGCAAAATTCTATGAGTAGAGTCAAGGAGATCCAGCATTCATCATCTTAGGCAGGAAACAATGTAACACAGGTTACATCTACGCCAGCCTAATAGATGAAGAAGGGGTTCGAGGCTGGTTAGCAGAATTTTTCTGCTTACCCCTAAAGTCTTTGCCTAGGAGGCCTTCTACAAGACAGTAGCTGGATGCAGTTAACATCTGCCCAAGATGAGTTTTTTTATCGAGACTCCATCTCTAGCTTTTACTCAACCAAGAGCCCCAAGGGAGGGGATGTTTAGCTGGATGCAGTTAACATCTGCCCATAATGAGTGTTTTTATCGAGACACCATCTCTAGCCTTTACTCAACTAAGAGCCCCAAGGAAGGGGAATTTTTAGTCAGAGTTTATTTCTCCTAGCCTTTGCCTAAGAAGTGCACACTCTGCAAGGCAGCAATGCATGGTTCAGGTGGTATTGGGTTACATAATACCAGTAGTAAGATTGATCTTGATTATCCTGACCTGACCTGGAGTAGTTAAAAGGAGTTACTTCCCCCAACAGTACTTTGAGAGAACCAGGCATGACGTTTTGGAAGTGCATTTGGAAAAACACTGCATCTAACAAAATACAGGAGTCTAAGGTGAGTGGAGGTTCAGACAGAACACAGACATACATAAAAAACATAAACTTTTACTATCCATTATTTAATATTTTAAGATTAAAAATTACAAACAAAACATTTACTATTAATTATTTAACATTTTAAGAGTAAAGAAATATAAAATTAGCTATTGGATTGAAAAATTAAGAGAAGTATCAGTAGTTATCAGCAATGGGGGTAGGAGAGTGTTTAATAATTTATCTTAGGTCAAGGGCACAATTTGTTTCAAAAGAACATGATACAAACTATAGTTTATAAATAAAAGTTTATAATAGATTATATTTTATAAAATAAGTTTATTAGTTATTTTAAAATAAGTTATTAAATTTAAAATGATTTCTTTAAAACTTTCTTTTTCAAATTAATTTTTTTGAAAGTTTTTGTTGATGAAGTGTCTTTCTTTTCATTGAACCACGTAGCCACTGCAATTTTTTTGTCTTGATTTTGTTCTTACCGCTCTCTTTTCTCTAAAAATTGTTTTTGTTATTCCTTATTTCAACCTTTAGTTTTATCCTTTAGTTTAAAACCTTCTGTGTTGTTTTAAATACTGGTCACCAGGTTTTTATTATTTTTCATTTTATCCCCAATTTTGTTAAAGGTTGTTTTAGCAGCTTTCTATAATTAGTAATTCATCCACGTAAGAAATAAATATCACAAACTTAATTGATCATTTTAAGTTCCAGAAGGAACGAATAGAATAGAAATTCAAGTTAAATGATGTTTTTTTAAAAAAAACATCATTAAATTTTAAACAGTTTAAATTTATCAATGATTTTTCAAAGAAATTTTTTTAAGTTTCATAAATTAACTTTTAGACATATAGTTGTGGATTACCTTTTACATTTACTGCTCTATCCTGTATTGGTATTTATGCTGCTTTTACATTCTCTGTTACAGAATGGAGGTAAGATTGTTAATGTGTTTTTCTTTTTATTGTATATTGTTTTAATCTGTACTGTGTTGTACAATAATGATTGCTTTTGTGGTGTTAGATATCTTTAAGAGATAATCAGACATCTTTAAAATGTCTAGACAATGTTCTATGCATGTCATAGGTTTGTTGGCATTTAAAATTATTAAACATTATTTAACATTACTATAAGAAAAATAAATGCTGCAAAAAAACATAAGTGTCAATTTTTTATTTATTATGAAAATGTAAAATGCCTAAAGTATAAATCCTTTATCTTATTTATTTTAGCAATTAGTAAAAACAATACTCGCATAATAAGAATTCACATGAACCTTTTTTCCATATTCATGGCAGTTTTTATAAAAAATGCTTATCATTATAAAATTTTAATACAATGCATCTTTTGGGTTACTTCAACCTATCAGCATCTACATGTCTATCTGCAGCCTGGAAACTAAGAAATCGAAGGCAAGCAGTCAATTCAACCAGCTAACACATAGAATTGGCTCTCAAAAACTTTTTTTCTGTTTAAATTTTTATCTTTGTAATAATTCTTCATGACTGAATTTATATATACAAAAATAACTTAATGCTTGAAAATTGGCGAATTTGTATTCCTTTTAAAGCAATAAATTTAAACAAAAAATGTTTTTTTAAATGGAAAAAGAAAGTGCATTTTTTAAATAGAAATGCAAATAACTAACATTCAAATTACCAGCTAATGTTAATAGTTTAAAACAACTCACCTGCACACAAATTTTCATTCAATTAAAAAAGGAAGTTTGATGCCATTTAATTTATTAAAATTTATAACTTTTTTTTCAATATCCAAACAATTTTCGTAAAATATAAAAAAAAATTAATCTAAATACTTAGTACTAAAAGCAATTATTTTGTATATATAACAATTACTTATGATGCATGAAACAAAGGTTTTACTGAAAATGTAATTTCAAATCTGTCTCAAGTTCTATCTGATTCTTTGATTAATAGGTAAAAAAAAATAATGCACAAATGCGCATTGATATTTTTAAATTTATTTAAAAATTAATTTATTCATTGCAATGATTTTGCAAACGGCAGGAAAAGCTACGAGAAAGACAAATGAAAAGATTGAATGAAAAAAAAAAGTTTAGTTAGAAAAGAAAATGTTCTTAGTTTCGTATAACAATTACAAATGTAAAATTGTGAGACCTTCAATCTTCAAAGTTAATGACGTTAAAGAAAAGTAATTGCAGACTTTTATCTTTGCCCATATAAACCATTTTAAAAACCGCTAAAGTTTAATTAGTTAACAATAATGTTATTAACCCTTGTGTGAATCTATTTAAATTGAAGATATGAAGAAGACAATTGTTTTATGAAAAACTACTATAAAAATTACTCATGTAAAGTAAAACAAGGTTTTACTAAATATATATATCAGGGGCAATTCTAGACCGTTTTCGACAGCGTCGGCCGTTTTTAAGCGTCACCCAAATTAAAATTTGAGGACTTTTTTTTTTTTAATGATTTTGAAGGTGAATATTGTTGTTTTTGCAAAAAAACAATATTCACCTTCAAAAATAATTTCTTCATGACTGGGGTGGGGGGGGGTTCCTGTTGTCCAAATTTTTTTCCTAAAATAACCCCTGTATATATATATATATATATATATATATATATATATCCTGTTATATATATATATATATATATATATATATATATATATATATATATATATATATATATATATATAAATTTTATTGAGAAATAAAGTGAAAAACAAAGTACAGTTAAAAGAAAAAAAGTTCTAAATATAACAATTGTTATATATTTTTATATTATTATTAAAAAAATATATTTAATATTTATAAAGTAGTAATAAAATAAGAACGTCTCAACATTTATGAAAAAAATATTTTTACCACCATTAAAATGAAAGTAATCTAATTAAGTGAAGCAAAAAAATTAATTAGCCCTAACCCTAGTTTACCTCATATTTAATATTTGTCAACAAAGTGAATTCAAGTAGCTTATCATAAACAATAAGATTATTTTAAATGCTTAAATTTAAATGATTTTATGAAATTTTAGTATATGCATTTTCCAAATTACAGCGTGGTTTATTATTTGGTTTTTGATTATTTCAAAAACCAAATAATAAATAAGTTTTTCAAAACTCTGATTTTTTAAAATCAGGAATGGCAAAAATTCATTTTTGGAGGTCAAAAAAGCAGTTTTTGTCATTTCAAACGGTTGTTGACATGTTGTTTTCCACGCTGTAACAGTTTATTTCAATGCTTATATAAGATACCCTCAGTAGTTAGATAAGATACCCTTAATGATTATATAAGATGACCTAATTTAATCAATTGGATTTTAACTTTCTCTTCAAAAGTTTCTCATTTTACATTTTTTATAATCACTCCAGGCTTTCACAGGAAGACGTGCGATTTCGCGTCTTTATATGACCACGCAAAAAAAAAAATGTTTTAACGATTTGACCACGGCATTTTTTTTTTTATTTAAAAACGCGCTACAAAAACTTACCTAAACTTATCTGAAAAAAAAATTTAAAAAAATAATAAATATTAACGAAAGAGAAAATAAAAATAAATACTTAGTTGAAGCAAAAACACAATAAAATAAATACATATATATAACGCAACTAAAACAAAACTCATCAAACTAAAATGCTTAGTCTATTTAATTTACGCATTAAAAAACCTTTTCATCTTTGTTTCAATATTTTTATATATTTTTTATTTATTTAATATGTTCAAAAGTTAAATATTTCTCATAAAAAATACATAGTTATATAAATAAAATAAAAAAATATTTTATTAATACTTTTTTTTAAATTAATTAGAAGCGTTTTTTTTTTTACTCCATCAAAAGCGTTTCGATAATATAAAAGCATTTAAGATCAAACTTATTAAATAGTAACGGTTTTCTAAAACTTTTTTTTTCAACAAAATTTTGTTTATCTTTTTAAATGCATTAACTTTAATCATTCTTATATTTAAATTCGTTAAAGAGACTAGCCGTAGAATGTCATCGTTTATAAAAACAAAACAGTTTTTTATTTATAAAAACGTAGCCGTAGAATGTCATCGTTTATAAAAGCAAAACAATTTTTTATTTTTAACAAGATTTATTTTAGAAATGAACACTTAAACAATTTATATGTTTTAAATTAAAAAAATATATACAACTGTCAATTATATTTAAAAAACAAAACTTTTTTTCAGTAAATTGTTACTTTATTAAAAATCGTTTCGCTAATATAAAAACATTTGTTAAGAAGTTTTGATGTAATAAATTTCACTTTTTTAGAATATTTTTTATTTAGCGCATTTCTAAAACGTTTTTTGAATTAGCCACGGTCAAACCGTCATAGCAAAATGTAACTTGCGTGGTCATATAAAGACTTGAAATCGCACGTCTTCCTGTGAAAGCCTGCACTCATACATTTTTCTATGGATTTAAATCTAGAGAATTACCTGGTCAGTTTAAAAGTGGAAATTTTTTAAGAACCCAATAATTTATTAATGGATTTTGGAGTGAGGCCATCGTGTTCAATCTTGCATAAATATGTTACTTTTGTTATTTGGAAAGAATGCTTTCTTATAGTAAAAAGAATAGTTTTAAATTTTTTAGCAGAGCCATTAATCAAAACTACTTGATTTTATGCTTTAAAGTATAACTTTATGCTCAGCTTCAATAAACTGTAATAAAAACAAACAGCTGTAATAAACTAACTTTTAAAGCTCCATAATAGAAATAAGGAGTTCATAAATTAAGTCACATTTTAGGGATAGGGGGGAGGGGGATGTTAGTGGTTAATTGACAACTCATACATAACTTGTTACTAAAGTGTTACGATGTTTTGACGAAAAGAAGGGAGGGGTCTCAATTAGTTGAAATTTTAATGAGGTTGTTTGTAAATGACCCCTAAGTTAACAGTTTTTTTAGAGTGTTTGATTTTGATTAAATTTTTTTTTTTTTTTTGCAAAATTCACGTGATTATAATATCCACCATCACTGATTTTTTAAATTTTTTTTCAAAGATTTATAATGTCTATGAGTTTATCTTTTAAAAAATAAATAGATTTGGAGTGCAAGCTTGATGCCTTTTATGGTATAAAACTGTTTTTTGTGGTATTGTATTTAGTTAAATTTTTGTGGTCCTGGTTAATTTGTTGATAATTTTTGATATCTTAAAGTTTTTTAAGTGTTTGAGTACTCTATTTTTATCTGTTTTCTTTACAGAATGCACCACTAGTAGTTTTAAGTTTTCTTTACAGAATACACCACTAGTAGTTTTAAGTTTTCTTACAGAATGCACCACTAGTAGTTTTAAGTTTTCTTACAGAATGCACCACTAGTAGTTTTAAGTTTTCTTACAGAATACACCACTAGTAGTTTTAAGTTTTCTTACAGAATGCACCACTAGTAGTTTTAAGTTTTCTTACAGAATGCACCACTAGTAGTTTTAAGTTTTCTTACAGAATACACCACTAGTAGTTTTAAGTTTTCTTACAGAATGCACCACTAGTAGTTTTAAGTTTTCTTACAGAATGCACCACTAGTAGTTTTAAGTTTTCTTACAGAATACACCACTAGTAGTTTTAAGTTTTCTTACAGAATGCACCACTAGTAGTTTTAAGTTTTCTTACAGAATGCACCACTAGTAGTTTTAAGTTTTCTTACAGAATACACCACTAGTAGTTTTAAGTTTTCTTACAGAATGCACCACTAGTAGTTTTAAGTTTTCTTACAGAATGCACCACTAGTAGTTTTAAGTTTTCTTACAGAATACACCACTAGTAGTTTTAAGTTTTCTTACAGAATGCACCACTAGTAGTTTTAAGTTTTCTTACAGAATGCACCACTAGTAGTTTTAAGTTTTCTTACAGAATACACCACTAGTAGTTTTAAGTTTTCTTACAGAATGCACCACTAGTAGTTTTAAGTTTTCTTACAGAATGCACCACTAGTAATTTTAA